TGCAAATAGAACTACATCTGCAGTGTTAACAAAGTAATTAAGGATTTACACCAAGAAAGGCCAACACGAGGTGGTTGTATCATTCTTGAGTGCCACGCTTCCATTGTTAAATCTTACGAAATGTAAGATAACAACAATAGTTGTTTTTCGTCGGCAGAGCTATCAAGAAACACAGACAAAAAACGCATTATCAATAGATATTCTCTTACGACTGAGTAGTGACGGGTTGCGATATTACACCGGCTATTAATTCCTTGCCTATTGATTGCTGTAAACGTGTGGGGTAATTTTCAACAATAGTCAACCTGTTCGTTTCAACGGGCCGTGTTTGATTGCACAGAGGCCGTCACATAAAATTTGGAAAAATATAAGGAAATTGCGGAAAACCAATATGAAAATCGGTCTAATTTCACAAAGGTCGTCTGGGAAAATCTTCAGCCACAAATATTTACTGTAAGCCATTGCAGGAAATTAAGCACTGGAAACCAATTTGAAAGGAAATAAACTGTCCCCATAGCGTCTGAGGCATCTATTCAAAGCCTTTGACAACTCGCGCATCAACGGAAGCAGACCTCGTCTCAATACTGTAGACCCAACTATAAATGATTGGCGTCAAAAACCTCCAACTGAGGATTAGTATCTAGTGGAGGAAAATCCGGGGACAAACGTACGTAACTGCCTCAAGAGAACCTCGCAGGTGGGCGATTAGACTATCTCAGTAGAGGATGAGGTGATATTCGGTAACGAAATATCAAAAAGTAACCTCACAGGTGGGCGATTACCATTGACTATCTCAATAGAGGCCTTAGTTCGCCCCATACAAGGGAATCCAAGACCGTCTTAGATTCTGGATTCCACGCCATGGATTCTGGATTCCAGTCGTTAGTGGGATCGGGATTCCTTGAGATATATTCCGAATTCCACACAAAAAACGTCTTGGATTTCCTTACATGGGGCGACTTAGTTTAACAGAGACAGTTGCAGTCAATTGAGAATTAAACCTCCGACAAAAATGTGCCATCGTACATGCAAACAGCTGCTGATCTTATCAGAACTGTAATGCAGTATTTACTCGATGAAACGCCGCAGACAGAACCAGAATTACCGGTACCAAGAAACGCCGCACCTAATCAGAAGAATGCGGCGTTTATTCGAGGACTATAAGCAAAAATAGAAGTTGAACCTCTCTAAAACGGCCACCTTGGGGGAAGAAGAAAGTGGCCGTTGTAGAGACGTTTTAAACAAGAGTCAATCCATGGATTTTTTGTCCGTCGGGGCAAGAAAATAAGTGACCGTTGTAGAGAGGTGGCCATTGGCGAAGGATTAAATGTACCAACTACAGAAAGACTCGGTAATCTCAACATCTAGACACACGTTTCGATCTCAGCAAAAAAAGCAAGGCACTGGAATTTTAAAACATCTTTCTCCTTTAGATAACATTTACAAATGGCTTACCGTAACTGTGGTCAGTGATTTCGAAATAAACGCCGCCCTCGAATAAATAAACGCCACAGCGGAAACGCTAAAAATTTAATAAACACGCCCCAGTTGCTGAAAAACTGGATAGCGCTATCCGGCGGATAAATCTCTTTCCAGTGGATAGTGCAATTGGTTTGCCTAATACTTATCCACTGCATAGTGATTAATCCGATGGATAGCGATCCAGCTTTTCAACAACTGGGGCCTGGACTATATTTTTACAAAACATTTCGTTTCAGAAGATTAGGAATGGCCCACTGAAGACAAAAAAGAACTGAACGTCGCATGAAGAGTACAAAATATGCAATTGAACACGGATCAACATTCGGAGTGTCCTAAAGAGGAAGCAGGACTATCATTTTAGAAAATTTAACGTTTGCACCTTGGAAATTTCTGAATAGGAAATGCTGCAAAGAGCACAGCGTGAAACTTTGAACTGAATAAATATTTAGCGGATTTTTTAGAAAACGGTAAACAACCTTTGTTTCAACAGCTGAATTCAACTTACTCAACCAAAACGTTTGATCGTTTTCTCTTGCGGTAAATGTCGGCAGACACTGACAAGTAAAGGTCCGTGGCTACCAGCAGGTTCGCCATTGTCCGAAATTATCCGACACGTTTATAGCAGAACAATAGGAAAGAAAGTGATAGTTGGTATAAATAAAACAACCAGTTTTATAGCGTCTTAAGAGATTATCCATTTAGGTGTGGCGGTTCTTTTGGCTTTTTTATCTTCAACTGCTTTAAATATGTAAATACACTAAGCGTTTCTTAATCTTAGATTTTGTAAACAGGGGATATTTAGACGCATGGTACACAAAGAATAAAGCCAATTAAGTAAGCACGAAGGCGAAGGTGTATTAAGTTAGAAAACAACAACACTGCACGTTTATAAGACGTTTTGTGGAGGAATTCAACAAAATTTGATGGATTTTCATTTTACTTTCGGGATGCATTCTTCATGAATTCATCTCCAGGACAATTCGTCCGCGCACTTAACAAATTGAGCCAGCGTTGCAACAACTGCGATAAATGTTTAAAAAACGAAAATATACCATTACCGTTTTCGGTGCCGTTACCGTTATGTTTCTTAAAGTAGGCACCCTATGAGACTACGACGGTTACTTCTGTTGAGTAACTGGGCGAAATAGAATAATCCGAAAAATGTTTGTAAGGATGCGAAGTCTATTTGTCAACGACGTTTTCAATGGTTTCGCGTTGTCGGATCGTAAAGTTCCTCATCTCTATTTGTAACAACGACCGGAAAGGGCGACAGCGACTTGTCCAAACCGATTTCAGAAGAAAAGAAATGACAAAACAAAACAAAAACAAAAAAACAAATCCCATACCCCGGTTCAAGAAAGCACGACACTCTACCCTATTTCAGAGACACACGACTAAATCTACACCCAATTTAAAACTAAGAGAGGTCAAAAACCAAACCCTTTGGGCTGCACATGCACGGCTAACATAGCTATCCCAACCCTACCCTGCGAGTAGAGGCACTTCGATCTTCCTAGATAAGTCTTATCTAGGAATATCGAAGGGCCTCTGCTCGCAGGGTATCCCAACCCCAGACTGCGCAGCTTCAGAGACCTACGAGAAAACGGTAAGCCCAACAAGCAGGAAACTCTTGACGCACATGGTAAAGTAAATGCACAGGCCACCCAAGGTTGCCCGATTTTCATGACTTGCACCAGTCACGATATAGCCTGCGTAGCAGGCGTCGAAAGGGGTAGGGGATAGGGAAAAAGGGAAAAAGGGAAAAAGGGAGGGAAGTAGGGGAGAGAATTTGGTGCTTCTCTCCCTCCCCCTCCCCTTTTTGCGCCTGCCACGCAGGCTAGTCATGATATGAATTAAAAGTTGAAGTTTGAAAACGTCTGCTGAATGCTATTACTGATTCAGTATTTTTGTTCTCTAATGGAAGCCCCGGTTTTCGTCGGGAACGTATAGGTGGAGTTTAAATGGGCAACAAATCAATCAAAATCAGATCGAAAGAAAAAAAAGACAACAAAACTGACACTCGCAAAGCAAACAACATGACAATTAGCAACTCACTGGCAACAAGAGAATTACAAATAAATAGATAATAATAATAATAAAATTCTTTATTAAAATCTTATAAAAATCTTATAAAAAAAACTACACACAAAACTTCTGCAAAATATTCATAAAAATAAAACGTCCACATCAATATTATGTAAATACAAATTTCCGGCAAAACCCCTTCACAATTCAGAATTTTAAGATACTAATTAAAAACTAAATATATGTCCACGATAGAAAACTACTTACAATTGTGAATTACTGTAAGAGTGGGAAAAGGAAAATCAAGCATTACTAAGAAAAAAAAAATAATAATAATAATAACAAGATCAAGAAGAACAAGAAGAACAAGAAGAAGAAGTTAAACTACTTTGGACTCAATTGTCCTTAATAATAACACATCGTTCAACTACTTTCAGATATGCTTTCCTTAACCCTTTAAGTGATAAGTATCAAATTTCTCCTTGAAATGTCAATGCTTTACAAAACAAAGTGGAGAATTGAGTACATGATCACAGGAGGTGATTCTAGTTGATACTTCAACAAATTCTCCCCACTTGTTCTATGAAAAACATATAGGGACAACAAATGAGAATTTGCATTTTGATATAACGGTGTAAAGGGTTAAATGATTTTATCTGTTATTCTTTACCACGCATATCTAATTTACAAGTCTGGAGCTAAAACCCATCGAAAAACAGTTTCACGTCGCTGGAACGAGTCCTGAATGTGAAAATGAATATTAATCGACAGAACAATTACCAGTGGCCTCATTGATTATAGAGCAAAATGCGATTCTAAAGAGGACACCTGCTTTAGTCAAAATAACTCCAAGGGGAGCCTCTGAAAAATTAAGCCTATTATGTCTCAATAAATTACATGAAAGATAGTGTTAAATAAAGTAAAACACAAAGGACGCCATCTTTAAGAAGATTCTTTCCCCTAGATTAAATTATGATGTGCTGTTTGCATCGTAACTAGCGGACCAATTTGATTAATTTTATTTTGTCATTAAACTTTTATAAGCCAAGGAAGCACTTGTCACACTCTAAATCTTTGAAACAGGAGACAATAATTTACATTTCATTTTTTAGTCGCCATTTGCCATTTGTCTTTATCACCTGAACAAATCTAACTATTTTAAATGACTTATTTGAGATTTGTCCGGTCCTTCTTCGGTAGAAAATTCTCATTTTTGATTCTCTTCTTGATATGAAGTCAATAATTCTCACAGTCCGTAAACAAATTAGACATCGGAAATGAAAACTGCGAAGAAACTAATTAGTTCCGTTCTAACGACCAATAAACAGGCTTGTTTTTGGACGCTAGCCACCTGAACGAATAAATGATCATTTCTGAAAGTCAAGAATGTCAGTAGCTTTAATCTGCTCAATTTCTTATTAACGTAATTCGCGAGCTTTCTTCACATCGTTCGAATAGCACGCAAGCAAGATTGTTGAGCCCGAGTGAAAGAAATGTCCAAAGGAGAGTGCCTGAACAAGGAGGATCTTCACCTCGCATTTGGAATTTTTTATTTGTGCCTCTCGCCTATTGCTACGGTCACAAATAGTTTTATGCTCTATGTTGCGAGGAGAGACCCACATCGACAGTTTAACAAACCCACGAATGTCTTCAACCTTGGGATAGCTAGAATCTATGTTTTCACCGCGCTCATTGTCCTACCGTTTATTGGCATCGACAGCATTTTACAAAGTCAACATCTGTCTCCAGAAGGGATGGACGCAGCAAAGTTGTTTCAAGATTTCCTCGTGTGTTTTGTTATAAGCAGCGGATGCGTTACATATCTGGTCATTTCCATCGAACGATCCACTGCCGTTGTCTTCCCCGTGTTGAATCGAAAACATGTGACCGTAAGACGAGCTAGAATACTTAACACGACTATAACAGGAATATGTCTTTTATTTTCATGCATCTTATTAACTGGCATTGCCCCTAAATACTTTTACTTTGCATTTATACCCATTTTTCTTTGGTTACCATGTTTAGGTCTCTTAATACTACCCGCTATAGGTCTATACGCACTTAGACGCCAGGCTAGGAAAATTGTAGCCACCATGCAAACCGAGTGTCTCACATGCGAGGCTTATAACCAAAAGGAAAAAGCAAGGCGAAATGCGCAAATTAGGCGATACTTGTTGGAGTCATTAAGAGTGACAATTACTTCAATCATAATATTAGGGTTTTTCACCGTGGTTAAGATTCTTGAAATGACGCGCTTGGAGCTCTCGTGTGATGAACTTCTGGAACATTTGTCCTACACAATATTGTTTGTTCCTGTGACTTTAAATCCTGTTATACTTTTGAAAAAGATTCCGGCATACTGGAAGGCAGCGAAACATATTTGGAACCGGAGATAAAAGACCTTGCAGGAGCATATCATCAGACTTTAACTTTTCTTCCAATTAGTGGCATAAGGACGTAACGGAAACACCTTCCCCGTAATTTACTCCAAGAAAGAGGTTATTTTCATTCAGTGATGATATGTAGCTCGGGAGAAAAAAAATCCGAGTGTTCCTCGCAGGAGACGACAATATGACCTTAAGGTTACTAGTCCAGACGCTCTACCACTGAGCTACACGAGCCTGAATGGTGAGAGCTAAGGTTCACGTGACAAAGATTCTGCATATTTGCTGCAAGGACTCTAGACTGCGAGCAGTCTCTTATTTTTCTTTGCAAAGTTACTGCACGCGAAACCTAAGCACGCGAGCCGCGAGAAACGAGGGCGTAAGCCCGAGAAGAAAAAATAAGAGACCGTCTTTTCTCGCCTGGTCTCAATCCCTTATTGTAATAATAACGTCGTGGTTTGCTATCGCGCTGGATGAGGTAAGGACTAGACAGATTTTAAGAGAAAAGGCGGACTGCAGGCAGTCTACTAGGACTCTCTTTTGCCGGATAACTCATTTAAGCGCGAGAAAAAGTAAAACTGTCTATAATACATTTACCGTGGCACACATCATGAAACTTTAAACGTGCAAACGAAGAGAAAATGACAGGTAGAGAAAGGTAAATCTCTGGTTCCGAGACCCAAGCGAAGCAACTAATCAACAAAGAAAAACTGCACCTGCCGCATTAAAATTAGAATAAAAAATTTATAGGCGACTTTTTAAAGAAGTTTAGAGAACATGTAATTGATCGTCGAATAACCCCACCACGGATCTTTTCAAAAAGAAAATCATATATCATCTACCTTTTAAAATATTCAGAAAAGATAAACGATGAAACTTAAATTACCAAAACTACTTTGAATTGTAAACTGAGAAAAGCAATACGAACGTCTTAGTTGGATAACCTTAATTTATTTGTATTCAGTTAATATAACTAACAGGTTCATGCTATAGGGCTTACATCATAAAATTTTTATTGAGGTTAAACTAAATCTCTAAGAAAAATATGGTTTATTTGAGGTTAAATGTAACAGAATAAGAAAGGAATGTGACTAAATTGATTTATATTTGTACTTTCTTAGTTTCATTTTCTTCTTTTGCCATCAAGGGACGCAAAAGCTCAGCTCGCTTATGAATGTCCACTTCTTTTTTCTGTTAAACAAAGAGGTGAGAGGTCTTAATTTTAAATTTTATACCTGATAGATTATCATTTATTGTTAATCTTTAGTGGCACTTTATTATAGCAGTAACCTTGGCTAAAGAGCTTAAAGTTGAAACTGGGCGACATTGATCTTAAAGCCGCCACACGAGATAATGAAATTTACTTAGAAAATTAAAGTTTGTTTTTATCTTACAGCTTTTAGATATAATCATTTTTCGTCTGTATGTTGTAAGTGATCACTTAACCTTGTGTTTTTAGAAGTTAAATTTGCAATTCATTTTGTAAAAGCAATTAACTCTCTTTACCGCGGAATTCTAGGAAAAAGTAAGTAATCTATAAAAGAATTAATTCATTCATTCACTGATACGTTAGGTGCGTCACACACACAATATTTAATTGTTCTTACCTGTTCGCTGCAGATAGCAGCCGCAATCTGATTAGCTCTGGCCAAAAGTGATCCAAACGTCCGCATAAAGTAAACATGCCTGTTCTTGTAAGCGATGCTCCTCAGCTCGCCCCGGTACGCACGGCCAACACCGACGGCGTAAACCTGGACTCCTTTACGTATGAATCTTGATGCCATGCGCTTGATGGCGTATGAATGACGGCGATTGGGTGGTCCGCCAGTGAGTACTACGAGAACACGTGGGATGTACGTCGGCTCGTTACGGTAAAACGAGTCATATGCAGCTTGCAAGGCGAGATCCAACCGTTTTCCTCCACGATTGATGTATGGAGCTTGGTTGATGGCACGGCGAACCGCTGTTTTTAAGAAATGAGTTACGTATTAGAGCGGAACCTCTACTTACAGTTGCCGGCTTCTACTATCCGGACGCCTCTCTATGAAGGTGAATTTCCACTGTCGCGTAATTTTTACGTAGGTACGAATGTGAATGTTTCGTGCTAAATATAATAGATACGACGTATGAAAGGTGGCGTGAAGACGTAAAAGATGAATGAGGTTCAACTTTTACGTTTGAGGACCAATGAGGATTATCATAGCACAAAAAGACACACTAGGGGGATCATTTTGAACAAGGGCTAAGGTCCTGTTAGCGATTTCGCCTACAAAATTTTAACGAAACACTATCAACGGATCACCATACAAATGTGATAGTCTTTTCGAGTCATGAGAGCGTCAAAAGCCATACCCTATCCCGTGGCACATATCTGTGTAGCTTAGATATGGGAGTAACAATGCCGTATTCTTTTACACTAACACTATCGTCTTACCAAAAATTGAGTTGTATTGTCTGAAACGCATCCTCAGCGAGGGCAGATTTGCGTATGTAATCAGACCAATGTGGGATTGGTGCTTGGTGATAGTGAATTTACTGGATACGACCTTAGCGAAGGCTTTTTCCAACTGGAAGTTTGAGCGGCCAACATCACTTGAGGCGTCCATTACGAAGGCAAGATCCAGGGTAACAGGGCAGTGCTTGATGGAGACTAAGTTCGAGAAAAGGAACAATATGTGAGTCATACGACCAAAGTAAATAACTTGATCTGAGTGCGACAGCCGTAAGTTGTGAGTTACAGACCGAATTTTTTCTTTTTGCTTTAAGGCCCAAGCGCACGGGCCATCAATTACAGGAAATGTTCGGACACTGACTTACAGTACAGACTAAGAAAAAGAGGGTTATATCTCTGCGGTTAATTAGAGAGGAGAAAATTTCAATTCAAGCAGAATGGCCATTGATGTTTGATGCGCGCCACATTCGAACAGGGGGTAACTTTATTGTCCACGAGTTGTCAAAAACATTCATTTAACACTTGACACACTCATCTTCCGGTCCCAAATGTTGTTGTTTTTGGACTCGGTTAAGAGTTTGTGGCAAGCCAATGCCAAATCAGTGCCTTTCACTAATCTGATAAGTTACCAAAACCGAAAATAAATCGCAACAATTTCTACTTATTTCTAATAACCAAACTTTGAACTAGAGAGTCTAATCATCTCAGTCCCAGTTCAAGGCTTACCGGGTGGCCTGATAGGCGGTCTAGGTCGCGGTCTGGGTGGTGGTCGTGGCCTGGGAGGGAGTCTCCCAGGCCTCTTGGTTGGTCGCGTTGGTCTGATTCTCTCAGCTGCAAAGAAGGAAAGTGTAGTTAGATTTTGTTAGTGTGAAAGGCTACCTAACTATTACTGACCATTCTGAATGAACCTAAGCGCTACAAAAAATGGGAAAAGAGAGGGTATTGTCTCATTAATTGTCTTAAAATGTACCTAACTGGCACCAGAGTTAGAAGAGGAGACTGCTCAGGAGCGCCGGCAAACATCAAAGTTGAAAACAACGGTGCTGTAGTTTATGTTCGAAGCTCCCTGACCGTGCACAATCCTTTGTTTTTTGTTCACAAATTGTGACTGAATAAATTAATGCGATGTTTCTATTGGTCAGTAAGTTCAAAATGATAGGAATGCTATTGAACCTTGTGCACGGTCAGGCCCAAAAAAGCTAACAAAAACATATAACAAAGGAGTCTAACGGGTTTCATAAGCATTCCACTTTAATACCTATGCTGGCACACATATAGGGAAGGTAAACATTTTACTAGCACTAAACACTTTCATATTACTGCGACATTTACAGCGACCACGTTTTGAAAGAAAGTCAAAAGAAAGGTTGAATTGTCGTTTGGTTAAGTTGGAGTTTATACCAGTCAAAGGTAAAACGGTCAGTACCATACGAGAATCTCAGTTGCTTAGTTGGATTATGAAGACACCTGGTCTACAAGTCTTTTTTTAGAATGGCTTTTTCTCACCTGTTCTCTGTCCATAGAGCTCAAACCTCATGGAGATGTGCCTAAACCACGAGTTAGGTTTGATTTTCACGAAGCGGGCGTAAATGCGCGGTCTCAGCGCATGTGCAACGATGCAGTTACGATCGTTGTTGGCCGGGAAAATCTAGAAAAGAGAATGTTTATGTAAATAACGAAACGCAACAGAAAAATGGGTATGAAAAAACGACTTTGCCGTTTGACTCAAGCAATACTATAATCGGCGACAAAATTGTTGAGACATTGCACTCAAATAGGGTAACGTCAGAGAACAAAAGAATCCACACCCACCCCTTCCCCCTCCATTCAAATTTGGGGTGTTTGTTCTTTCTATAGGTCGCTCGAACAGCGGCACAACATTGCATGGAGGGAATAAGGGAGGAAAAGCTATATTTCCCCTTTTGAAGTCAGTGTCTCAACTTATTTTGTCGCCGATTGTAGGTTGCCAACGTTTTGGCAGAGTTTGCACAGGTGATTTCATCGTCTGAAGTTAAACAGACACACAATAATTATTGGTGGATTTTTATGATAGGGAAAATTATTACTCTGAATTTTTCCTTCGAGATCCTTTGCCTGAAGGCCCTTTTAAGGCACATTTCATAAACACCCGGCAAGGAAGTAACTATTCACTTCTCTGTGCGAGACAGCAAATTAACTTCATGTACGCATTGCAGACCTATTTTTGTGCATAGTACCTTGACTCGTCCCCTTTTGGTGTAGGGTCGGAAGGTGCGTCCATTTTTACTATAAGATACAGTGTAGCTTGTCACCCACTGATTGGCGTCTTGACGACCCTGTGTCAGGATTCGCGTGACGAGAGTACGCCGCTTCAGATCCACCTTGTGGTTAGATAAAATGAAAATGAATCAACCAGTAGTAAAGGCAATATTTGAGAGGGTGGGAGAGTGGAAAAAGCGCACGGGACACATAAAGACCATATGGTAAAGCTGTATCCTGTTTCCATAAAATACGACACCCGGGAGAATTTCTACTTCCTCTCTAGTTAGACAGTAGTCCACTATATCTTTATACCAGCTTC